TCGTTGTCGCTCGTCTTCTTTGGCTGGGTTTTGGCTGTCTTTGATTTTGCGATTTCGGGAGCATCTGTCTTTGAAGGTCGGCCTTGTTTGGTATTTTTAGCCGATTTAGCGGGAGGCTGCCCTCCAGGGGCGTCCTTTCGCTTGAGATTACTCATGGCGACGCAATGCAGCGAAAGCGAATTCGTGCCTTGAATCTCAAACTCGGTATAGAGATTCGTGAGTCCTCAGTTAGCATGGCTAGGCCTGTTGGATATTTTTTTTCTTGCCGCATGGCGATAAGCCGATAAGAATAGGAAGGGGTTTAGCGTGAGTCCGGGCGGGGCTGATGTCCGGGTTTGTGGCGGTGGCGCGTGTGGCCCAGGGTTGAACAGTTGGGTTCAAGATCCGTGTGGTATTGCGGTGACCAGCGGGGACAGTTCAGTTATTCAGCCTAAGTACAGAGCTGCGCACTAGTACTAGAAATCGCACGCCCAGGCCACTGGCATCAGCGAGTCGTGGGCGAGCCCCAAGGCGCGTGCAGGGCCTGGAGGATCGCGACTGGCGCCAGACATCTGGAGTTGCTGCACCAGGACAATGGACGCTGTGTAGCCCCGGGCCTGCTCCGTACTCCGTAGCCTACATCTAAGTAGCCTGGATCAACGCCATCAACAATGCCCATCATCAACAATGTCCATTCACATCCCTCGGGCTGGATTGTGGATTGTGGCCACGCGGTCACCAGGCACCAGCCCTTCGTGTGTCTCCAGAAATACACATGCATCCAGATGCCACCATTTAGCTCAGCAGCGTTGGAATGCGAGGCTAGACACTCCGAACTAGGGCTCTTCGTGCATGCTGGTGTCTCGCCAGTTTATTTTCTGTTTATCTGTTGTCTCTCGTGCCACCTCAACCTTTGCAGAACAACAAGTTGCCTTCTCCATCCGTCATCCATAAATAGGTTCATGGACACGGCAAAACGAAGCCGTCATTGATGATATGATGATTCCTCGAAAGCGACAGCGTCCTAACCCGGCCGAGGCCAGCAGCATTAGTTTGCCCACAACTGCGCTGAGCCGGGAAACAGCGACGTCACTTTCACAGTCCCTGTCCATGCATGCGCCATCGCCGGCTGCCAAAGCACCCCAACCAGCACCCCAACCAGATCACCCAGATCATCCCCGTCGACCCCGTCAACCCGCTGCCTCGGAAGCTGAGGCTGCAAGTACACGGCTCAATGTCCTCGTTGGTCCTCAACTGCTTCCATCTCTACCACCGTCAATCCCCCCAATGCCGCCATCTCAATCCACGCATCCTCACGGTGCGCCTCCGACTCACCCCCTAGCCCAGAAGCAGGTACGCATCATGTCACATTCAAATTGCGTTTAGAGTGTACAAAAAAAGGAATCTCACGCCATGTTGTCACAGGTCCGCAAGGCAAAGAGTTGGTACGGCCCATGGCCCAAAACACCAAGGAAAGCCACCGCCTTGACTTCGGTTGCACGTGAAAATATATTGGGCGGAACCGTCCGGTCCGCAGCTGCCCCAAACCTTGATCGATTCGACTCGTCAAAAAAGAGTGCTGCCGAAACTGCAAGCATTCGAGGCGATTCACGATCCGTTTTCCTGTCCAAAGTTTTCGAGGACCAAATGCCAGCTGTTGCCACTGACACGGCGACCGTCGACGATAACGCCCAGCACGAGGAAACCAGCATACCGCAACCTCCGCACACACCAAAAGACATTCACGCCACAAAAGATAGAAATGACACAAAGGAAGACGAAGTAATAAAACCACAAGCAGAGACCTCAAATTCACCGACCGCTCCGCCAGCCGCGTCTGCTGCCCCTCCCCCTCCATCAGGTTGGCTAGTTTGGTGGACCAAGACTCCAACCACGGAACAACAAACAGTTACAGTAACATCTACCACTCTTGACAATACGGATAATCCTACGCCAGAGAATAGACCCTTTACTCCTCCCGAACAGACTGCCCCGCCGGACTCGGTCCCCAGGGAACCTCCGCCAAGTGCACCAACGGTATCATCCACCTGGCGATTCGGCTTTTGGTCTTCTACCAACAACAAGATGGACAAGACAGACCCCGAAAAGGAGGGCAAGGTAGAGGGGGCTCAACCTAAAGAGCAACAAGACATTGCCATGGAAGACGCTCCAGCCCCGGCGGCTGCCCCAGAGAATGAACCTTCACCGAAAGCTGGGTCAACGTGGGCATTTTGGTCACGGGCATCGCCGAGCAAATCCAGTAGCAAGATTTCTTCCTCGGGCTCTGGCGAAATGGCTGTTATTGGCGAGGGATCAGAAGCGCACCCGAAACAAATGAGTGAAGTGGATGTCTCTAGTCCGCAAAGCAAAGCCTCCAAACAAGAGACACAGGCCAGGGAGGCGCAACCACAGGCGAAATCAACTTGGCGTAGGACAAAGAGAGTACGGCCATCTTCTATTGAAGCCGCAACAGATTCAGATGCATCGACGGCAACGCGGACTGCTACACCAGTTATCGAGGAACCTCAGGGCCTCCCGCCCCCTCCAAAGGAGCCCAAGCCCCCAGCGCCGTCTACAAAAGCCGAATCGTCGAGCAAATCGGCAGCTGAGGCCGAATCAGTGGCAAAGCAGCCTCCTAATTTGCTGCTTCCCTCATTCACCAGCACCTATCAGATGAAGGAGAACCCTTCAATATTACAGCAAATTACACAGCTTTTGCTTCGAACCTCTCAGCCACCTGCTAACCACGTCTTCCGGGTCAAAGATCCACCCAAGATCCGAAAGGCTATCGCCATCGGCATACATGGTCTATTCCCGGCAACCTATCTCCGACCCATGATTGGCCAACCTACGGGGACATCGCTAAGATTCGCCAACCTCTGCGCAGAAGCCATTCGTCGATGGACGGATGCTCACGGCTCTCCTGACTGTGAAATTGAAAAAGTCGCCCTTGAGGGCGAGGGTAGAATCAGCGATCGGGTGGACAACCTGTGGAAACTTATGCTCAATTGGATTGATCACATTCGCAGGGCTGATTTCATCATCCTAGCATGTCATTCTCAGGGCGTTCCTGTAAGCATCATGCTGTTAGAGAAGCTCATTGACATGGGCATCATCACCAATGCCAAGATAGGAGTTTGTGCAATGGCAGGGGTGGCTTTGGGTCCGTTTCCAGATTACAAGTCTAGCATTCTCATGGGGTCGGCGGCCGAGCTGTGGGAGTTTGGTAATCCTCAGAGCACTAATTCGCAACGATTCGAGGCCTCTTTGAAGCGAGTGTTGGACCACGGGGCAAGGGTGACGTTCATCGGCAGTATCGACGACCAATTAGTGCCTATGGAGGTGAGAAATCCTTTTTGACTTTTTCGGACGGGGAGATAATGTATGCTAACTCATCTTCTAGTCGGCCGTTTATTCTCCTGCCAGCCACCCGTACATATACCGTGCCGTCTTCATCGATGGCCGAATCCACGCACCAGACTTTATCGCACACCTAGTTGGGTTCGCCCTGAAATTACGAAACTTGGGAGTCACCGATCACGGTCTCGTTCGTGAACTGTCTGTGGCGCTGGCTGGGTCCTTGTACTCAGGTGAAGGTCACTCCCGATTATACTACGACCCAGCGGTATACGACCTCGCCATATGCCACGCTCTGGAAACAACGTCCACCCCATCCCCCGTCACATGTGAGGTTGGCCCCCGCGGAGGTCTAGCATCTGCCAATCCGTACGTGTTGCCGTGGATCATGCGCGGCATGCTAGAAGAAAGTTTCGTAAAGACGGAACTGAGCAGCGAGACGGAGGACCTATTGCAGCAATTTGATGATTGGAAACCGTCAAATAAGGCGCTGAAAGATGTAAAATACCGTTTGGAAGCGGTGCGATCGAAGCTTTAGTCTTTTTTATTTTGTTTGTTATTTTCTTTGTGAGACATCTGCGTATCATGGCGAGGAGTTTGAACGTTTTATATACATATACCACATAGCGGATCTTGCATGATTTTTATTTAGATGAACAGATTACAGGATGGCCAAAGAGCTCCAGCAGCGTCGGCATAGATGTTGTATACAGAATAGATCAATACACGACTTGACTACCTATCTGGCCGCTTCCAACGCGGTCTGTTCCTTTTATTAAATTACGTGCCGTGTGCTCTAGCAACATGCGTAATAAGGCACGATATTCTTTGCCCTTCATTTCGTCTTTATAGCTTAGTCGTTATATCCCGCCTGCTCGCTATTTGTACCCAAACTCGTCGGTTTCACAACATCAGGGTTCCCAGACCGATGCCTCTTGCTTCTCACCTCTCCAGCCTAGTGAATTAACAGCACCGTATACCCTTGAAGGCGGCTTTGGGCACTGCAATAGCTACTTCCCATGCATTTATCCTTCTGAATATCCTATGATCCTACGACGCACGGGTACGCCTCGCATCCTCGTCCGGACAACCGCTTCGCCTCGGGAATCAAGCAAATACGCGTCAGCCAGTAGGTCCACGCCCGTCGTATATCCCAAGGTGGAAGTAGTGCATGAGTCCCACCGCAGAAAGGAACGTAGGTACATATATGTCGCCGGTGCGCGTGCGCGATGTTAGTTAGGGATGGCATACTCTTGTCACTTGTGAGTGTATGGCTACGCTGCCACGTGCACCACATGCAACGTCGGGCGTTGCATGAACATGAGCACACGGCTGTCTCTGTATATCGCCAGCACGCAGGGTTTACCGCAAAGTGAGAGGTCGTGAGCACGAACCGGATCCTCAATACATTCCGTGCAAGAGCTTGCCTGCACATTTAGCATCGAGGATACCTAGCAGGCAGCGAGTCTAGCACATACAACATAGTCTCGAGGTGTGATTTTGCCAAAAATTAAAAAAAAAAATTACTCCGCAACACCAATGTAGTGCCATATCATATATCAACACGGTGTCTAGAATACTGTACACGGCAGGCCCCTGCTCCAAGCAAATCATATAATACACGGGCGCCCAAAAAACAAACAAAAACACCTCAGCAAACGTCATCATCTCCTGCCCAACTTCCAGGCGTCAATACGGTCCTGGATCTGGTCCCAGGTCATGGAGTGGCTCGTCAGGCCATACGCCTGCGCCTCCTGGACGACGACGGTGGGCGCGCCGCTCCCGCGGCCGGGGTTCCCAAGCGTGCCGTGGACAACCATGCTCGCGACCCTCCGCAGGTCGCGGACGGTGAGGGCCTCGATGCGCGCGCACATGTCCCGGACGGGGATCTTGTGGCCGTGGACCTGGACGGAGCGGCCGAGGTCCTCCAGCTCGACCATGCGCGACTCCAGGTTCATTAGCAGGCTCGACCGCAGCTGGTTCTTGGCCCGCGACACCTCGCCCTCCTGCAGGCGCGAGAAGCCCGTGTCGAGCGTGAGCGCCCGCAGCTCCTGGCACATGACGTCCAGCATGGCCGACGTGTGGCCCGGCAGGCACGACGCCGAGATGCCAAACAGCCCCGAGTCCGTGTATGAGTGGTTGAAGGACACGCACGATTCCACCCAGCCGTACTGGTTGAGCACGTTGGTGTACAGCCGCGAGTACATGCCCTTGCCTGGGCCGCCGGCCGAGAACGAACCCCCGCCGCCGAGGAGCGTCTGCAACGTCGCCAGCGCGTAGATGTCATCCGACCCCACGGGAAGGCCCTCGAATGCCAGGTGGATATGCGTAAAGTTGGTCTGGTTGAGCGACGGCGGTTGCGCCGGCAGCGAGAGGAATCCCCCCGTGTAGTGGGCCGGGAAAGCGGCAATATCAGCGGGCAGGTTGTTCAGCACAGCGGCGTTGCGAGGCGCCGACGTGGACAGGTTCTTGATGAACGGAATCTTGGACATGATGTGCGTTCGGGGAGTTGCCGACGACGACGACGACGCCGACGTATACGAAGAAGAAGACGAAGCGGAGTCGGTGTCGCTCTCCGTTTCACTCCCCGTCACCTCCCTCGCGCCCGGCAAACTCGTGCTCTTCATGTCGCCGAAGAACTGCTCCGCCAGCCGCACGGCAACACCATGATCGACCCCCGCAAACGCCAGCACCATTCTTTCCGGCTGGTAAAACGCCTCTCTGTACTTGAGCACCGTGTCCCTCTTGATCTCGCCCAGTCTCTCCTCCGGACACAGCAGCGGATTGCCCAGGGTATTGTCCTTAAACGCGGCTGTGTGCACCAACTCTGGCAGGATAAGCTCCGGCTTGCCCCAAATCTCGGCGATTTCATACCTCGCCGTCTCAATCTGCTCGGCGACCTCGTCCTCGGTGATGTTGGGATCGCGGATCGTCTCGGCCAGCAGGGAGACCGTTTCGGGGACCGCATTGTTGAACGTGGCGGCCTGGTACATCATGGATTCTCGCGACGACGCGCACTGGATGTTGCCGCCGAGATTCTCCACGCGCTCGAGCATGGCGTCGGCCGTGTGCGACGAGGTGCTCTTGAAGGCCAGCCGGTCCATGATGTGCGACACGCCCCGGAGCGAAGGGGTTTCGAAGCGAGACCCGGCCTCGACGTAGACGCCCACGCCGGCGAAGGAGCCGGGCAGTGCCTCGGATGCCACACGCAGGCCGTTGGGGAGAGTGGTGATCTGGTCTAGTTCCGTGGGTTCCTATTCAGCCGTGAGCATTTGCCCTCAGTAGTCTCGGGGACGTTTCGTTTCTCCGGCCATCAAGTGCCACGGGTACCCGGCACGAGAGAAAACAGACAAGACAAGAACAAACTTTTTGCAGTCCCTCTACTCTCACCGTCGCCATCCCCCTCCTCCACGCATTTCCCCTCGCCAAAAACCTAGTCGTCGGCGAGAGCCGCGCCGAAAGCTGCCGCAGCATGGTGGGTGGTGCCTCGATGCCGTCGTCTCTTTCCCCCCTGCCGTTTACAAATCCCCTCGTAGCTTGGGTAAAATCAACCAGAACGCAAAAGTCTAGCAGTCGTTGAATCTGCCCGTCGAAGCCAGCTCGCTTGATAGGGGATGATGCGATGAAGGTGACAGCGGCAAAATTTCATTGCCGTCACGTTTCCAAGGTAGTTAGTCGTCGGTTGGCTGCGGATGGGACCCAGAAAAAAAGTTGGGTCTGTGGTGTGGCTTTAGGATGCCGAGTGACGGGAGTACTCGGCGATAAATCGGATCTGACGTCGGACGGAGGTCCCGACTCGACTCACCTTGCTACTACTATTACTACGTAACTTACTGCTCACTTTGGGCCTGTCCAGGGCCAGCCATGACGGATGGACGATGGATCGTCATTGACTATGTAGCCCTTTTTATTTCGCTCGCAATATACTTCGTAGCAAAGAACACAGCTCGCACAGCAATCTCCGAAGTAGCTTCAAATTCAAATTCAAATTCCCAGGCAAACGCAGCAAAACTGCTTTATTAATACTTAAGCGGCAAATAGATGCGGCGTCCAAATGCGCCCAGGAATGCAGGTCTGCGTATAGTGATATACCCAATTTACCAATCCAATGCTATACAAAAGAAAATAAAAGTCGTTTCGCAGGATGAACATGTTCCAGCTCCAAGACCACTTGTCGGGAATGCAGCCTAGAACCCTCAAAATGAACAAAAGCAGGAACGCCGTCTATGACAAGAACACTGCGGGAACCGTTGGAAAAGGTGACATGTGTCGCTCGCTATGCTCTCCGAATAAAAGAATGGTTTCGTCAGGCTTGCCATGTATCGCACTTCTCCCCGTTCCCTCATCTCGTTTCCATACAAAACCACACAATCACCGTCCCTATCAAACGCCGATTCTTCATTGGCACCGGCCCTCCTCAGCGAATGGAATCATCGCTCTGGTTAGCACCGCCGCCGACATCCATTTCAGCTGCAGCATCTAGGCTTCGCATTTCGGGGCTGCCAGTAGCAGCCCGCTGCCCTGCACTGCCGTCAAATACCCACGGTCCAGCATTGTTTCTCGGCGTGATGGGGCCCTCTGCCCCGCTGGATGATGGTGATGGGGATCGGTGCTCACGTAAATGGCCTACACGCCCCGAGCCCGAGGCTGGATTTGTGATAGGCAGCGGCTCTGAGGCTGTGTGCAACGAGTTGCCTGTCGGCCTTTCCTGGGGGCTGTCTGACTCATTGACACTCATTGTAACATCTACATCCATAGCATCCGGGTCTGGTGCCGCGGCTTCTGTGGACTCGGCAACAGGGGGTTCCTCTGGTTGTGGATTTTCGGATTCCTTTTTATCCGCATCCAAGCCATCGTCGTCTAGTTGCTGCCATTCTTCAGATGGCTCATCCACATCGGCCTCGAGATCGGCTCCTGCCCGACAGTTGGGGCAGACAAAGATGGGATATTGCGACGACGTCAAAAGTGATCGCACACATTTAAAGTGCCATGTGTGAGAGCACGGTGCGACAAATAAAGATTGGCATGGCTGCATATACATAATATTAGCACATATGGATCCGAGTACCGAAGTTGCCCAGTAGTTCGAGCGCCTACCGCAATAGAATTCAGGCAAATGGAGCAATCTTGCGAGCTTTGTGAGCTCGATCCAGACGCTGCTCCCGCAGGGGCGCCCGTCGCCATGGTCCGGAGACGTTTGTGAGCTGCGACGCTGTACGAGGTTAGTCTTCCATCTTTTTCCTTCATCAAAAGCAGAGCGCTTTGAACTCACTTGAAGCTGTTCAGCTTGCTCTGCCAGCCGCGGTTCAGCTCCAATCTCATCTTGACGCAGCGGAAAATCATCTCCTCGCCGCCCTTAAAGTCAATGCCCAGCTGGACAATGTCGCCGTCGTTGACCGGAAATGCCTTGCTCTCCTGCGACGGGGCGCTCAGCCTAATGTGGTTCAAAAAGGTCCCAGACGAGCTCTTGACATCCTTGATGAACCACTTGCCATCTTCGCACCAGAACTCGCAATGTCGGCGACTCACAACTTTGCTCTTGAAACCCACTGGTGCTGCGGACGGCTGGTTGTTATTCATATTGGCGGCCTGGCCATCTCGTTCTGAATATCGCCCCACACGAATGATCTCGGTGCCATTTGGCAGGGTTCTCGAAATGGGGGAGAAGGAGAGCGAGGGCCGAGTCGATCGAAGGTCGTAGTGTGCGGAGAAGCGTATTGACGGCACTGTCTCTGGGGCGCCGTTGGCCGCAGCAGAGGCAGAGGCAGGAGCAGTAGTACCATTTGTGGCAGACGAGGCTGCGGGGGCATCGCTCACAGCACGAGGTCTCGTTGCAGCCATGTTGGACTGGCCGCCGTTGGGTGTCGAGTCTGGCGAAGTGGTTTGGCTCGCCGCCCAAGCCTGCGTGGACGTAGAACTGGTCGTCTCTGGAATCGTTGGCGGGGGGGTGTTGGATGAGGCACCGTGATTCTCTCGTGGATTTACCCGCGGCGACAATGAAGACGTGGCGTCGGGGGATGTGCTGACAAGAGTGAGACGATTGGGGTTTTGCGAAGCGGGGGAAATTGTCGACGACGGGGTGTAGCTGACGGATCGGGTCAAGTTGCCATTCTGCGTCTGGCTGCTGCGATGGGATGAGCTGGCGTTGGCGTTGGTGTTGGTGGATGATGAGGATGAGTGGTGTGAGTCTCGCGACAACAAATGGTTGTGGGTGTAGTTGCGCAAGTAGGTCAACCCTCGGAGTCGGCTTGGGCGAGACGGCGAGACGGGGACGGGGTTGGCACCCTGCGGCCCGGGAGGAGGAGATGAGACGGGTTGTGTGAACATGATGTGATGGTCAAGGCAACAAAGGTGCCTCTCTCTTTGTACGATCTAGAAGTGCAAGCTGTGAAAAATCTTTGTTGGCCGTCTGTGACTTGCCTCAAAGTTGGTTGTCAGCGGACGCGGCCTAATACGAACAAGGCGACAGACAGGGCGGCAAACGAGGGGGGTCGAAATGTTGGCGACGCCAGGCGTTGAAGTTTCACTCAAGCTCAGCTGAGCAGCAGCTGAGCAGCAGCGTTCAGGGTTGCGGAAAGCCCCAAACTGCCCCGAGTTGGTGGTGTTCAGGTAGGTGCGGAGAATCAGAGAATCAGGTGTGCACGTCAATTGATGTGCAGGCAGGGTTGATGATGGGTCAAATGTTGGCGAGCAGATGACTGGGCCGTTTGACGACTCTCGAGTCTCGCTCTCGCGACCGGCTTCAGAGTCTGACGTCTAGAGATTGCCTGCTGCGGGAAAGGGGCGCCCGGCCGTCTCTTTCAAGGGCTCAACTTCTCTTCTCTCGTCGAGATTGGTTCGCAAGGCCAGGGGCTGAAAGGAGGTTTCGTCTGCAGGATCGCGGCCAGACGGATTCGACAGAACAAAGCAGTGTTGGATGCAAAAAGCCAGTCTTTGTCGACGGTCCGAAGGGAAGATGGTTCTTTATCCGGCGCGTTGGCAGCCTCACACCACCAACCAGGCTTGGCTGTACATGAACCGATTCACGGTGGACACACCAGTTCACCCCAGGTGGCCCCGGCTGACGCTGGCGCTGGCGTCGGCGTTGGCGTTGGCGTTGGCGCCGGAGCCAGAAGTTACGTACGGAGTAAGTCTGTCTACACGTACTACCCAGTAAGCAGAAGGGGGAGGAAACGGTTGATGCAGAGGCAGATGCAGACGCGGCGGCGATTTGGTCACTGTCGAGATGTTGGTGATGTATTTGGCGTTTTTTTGATGGGATCATGTCGAAACATTGAATAGCCCAGCTGCATATGTGCATCTCTGGCTGCTGCTGCAGACACGCCCGGCCGCACTGGAGCCCTCAAGTGCTCCAACCCTCTTGCCTCTCCATGTCATTTGAACTTCCTTCTGTGCTGGTTTTTTTAAGTGACAAGCGATTGGTCTGAGCCAACGCCGCCCGATGACCTGACATGGATTTGATGCATCTTGCACCCCCGACATCGAGCCGCCTTCTCACGCTCCTCCCGCTCTCCACGTCGCGCACTCACGCTCTCGCCGTCCGCCGTCGCTCATAGGCGCCATTGCCACCAGCCTAGCTTCCCAACCTCCACGAGTGCCACAACTTCACAACCCACGCAACAACAGCGGTCCATATCAAAGCTCCATGTCTTCTTTCAGGGCTAGGACTGCTTGGAATTGCTTGGGCTGTGTGTGGGCCTCGCCAAACCATGGCGTCAACGAAGTACGAAGTAGGGCCTCCAACTCGACCCAAGGCCGCCGTGTGGCTGCTGCGGGTCTCGCAATCTGGGACCTTCTTGACTCTGTCATCCCGTATCTCTAATTACGGAGCCCGGACAACCCTAGCTGTTGGTCTCGGGACATCCGCTCGCGGTGCGTCGGCGCAGACCTAAATAAACAAAAGCGAACATCTGGGCTAGTCACTATGAACTAACAGACCAGACCGATGCGAGATAACAAGCTCGAATGCTCCGGACCGAGTATGCTCTTTTCCGTAAGTCAGGAGCAAGAAAAGATGCATTCTATACATAGGTGTGGCGTGTCGTGTCTTGGAGATGGTTCCAGATTGCACCCTCGCTCTATCGACATATCACCTCCAGGCAGCTCCACGTCTGCCCGATTTAGCCACTGGTCTGAAAGCTGCAGGATGATAGCCTCCAGATGTCCCACGCCCTAGCAGCCTGTAGTCTGTGTGCACGGCCAACGGCTGGGCGAGAGCACGCAGGGGCGACAGGTCACCAGCGTACACGATCTGCATCGAGACGGGTGGCGCCCAACCAGCAGAGGCCATTGATCACAGCTGAGCTCGCGTGGTTTCTTTCATCGCCTTTCCAAGAGTCTGAAAGAGCAATTGTGGAACAGAGCCTGGTTTGTTGGTCCATGTTCAACATCAAGCCGTAGCTCTGTGAGCATTGAATTCTGCTCCCGCATTGTTCTTATAAGGTGGCTGCCACCTGAAGCGCTCAGGCGGCTCATGGCAAACTTTAAATCAACATTATTGTCAACCTAGGGACGGAGTATCTTACTTCCTGCGTCAAAATCCCCAAATTTGGCCGCATTCTGCAACGTCCTAAACCACCAGGAGCCAGAAGAGTGAACCAAACAGATGAAGGTAAACATGGTTCGTTCAATCAGAGGCTGCATCACGCCCGTGAAGAGCGTTAAGCATGCTGCCTTCAGAAATTAAAGGAGCCCTCGTGCCCGACTCATGGGACGAAATGAAGCGTCACAAGTGGCAGTCTGTGTGGAAAGAGCCGTCACACCAAAGCAAACACGCCCAACCCGGCTGGGATAAGCACATGATGATGAAGGAATCCTGAGCCCACTCCGATATTACTCGCAATCTTGTATCTACAGACGGAGGGGGCCCTGACGGTCGCCAATATTTGTAGTTGAACAAATCGGATCTTGCCGTTCAGACCATTCCGCGAAGATTAATGTTGCCCGCCTCATCGAACGTCCCATTTACTAGCACTCCTAGATTGTAAAAGCCCGCCCGCATTTGTCGTAGCTGTGAAGCCAATCGCCATCAGTGGCATCAGAGTTGCATTCCCAGTGGATTCTCCCATCAGCCCGCGTGGCACTTGGCCCATCACAGCAAACAAAAACTTGACCAGCAGATCCCTTCTCGTCATCGCCCCCAAAATCAAACCGTCAAACAACTGTTGTTCCAAAGGGTATCTTGATCCCAGGGCCTCGTCGTTCCCACGTCGCATGCAATAGCCACCAGTCCCTGCCGCGAGTCGTGGTGAGCGGGAGCAAGCCCTCCCCCCGACAAAGTACAAAATCAAGAATGCTCGCTCATTCAAACGTCTCGTCAGCCCATGTCTATCCTCTTCCCCCGTGAAGGCCCGCGACTTGTCTCTGATCCTTGTTCCAGGCATACTGTACTCCGTACTACACCATGACACTACGCGCATTCCTCGAATCCTCCCAAGTCCAGCCTGCTCCTCCGTCGGCCAGAATGTCTCCTGTCTCAGCTTTTTCCCGCGATGGTCAGCCAACGTTGCGCCGCCCGTCAGCGCACCAGGTATATTAATAGCATCTGAGCCAGTGCGCCTCCTCCCGCCTCGGTCCCCAGAGGCCGGAGTTCAGGACGAGTACTCCGTACCATCAGTAGGTAGTAGATATCTAGCGCTTTTAACCGTAATTACCCAGAGGCCCTGTGTCTCCGAAACAGCCACGTGAAGAAGCCGTCAACTGTGGCGTGGAGATCCAGAGGTGAATCCCAAGCAACGCTATTTCGACTTGTACCGAGACACCTCCTATCTCGGGCGTCTTCCATCTTGTTTCGCCAAGTCTATGCTGCCCAGACTCTCCCACTCTCCACTCCATACAGTGATATGGCTGGAAATAATTGTCCCTGTGAACCGCGGGGACAATGGAACTCGGGCCACAAAACCACTTGGCAATACGGCCAAGTAGCGTCAAGTAGCATTGGGTTGATCATCAACTCGCCGTAGCACGATTAATATGACCCTGCATCTCAAGCACTCAAGTAGAATATTGTCCTGCGTAAGGGTTCCTCCAATCATGTATTACTTCTTACACTCACAGAACTCCATGTATTAGTCAAACATAACGCTTGCTGACGGTGCGACGCTTTCGCTTCCGCCATCATCACTTCTTTAGCGCTGCATTTCCCAGTCGTTCAATCTCTCGGCCTTCTTGCGAGCCTTTCCCTGCCGCCTCCAACAGTCTCTCCCACGCCTCTAGGTTCTTGAGACGGATCGCTTCCTCGGCCGCCTTCACCCGCATTCCACACTTCTCGTACATGGTGATGGACTGGCCCGGTTCCAAGCCCGTACACTTCGGCACAAACACAGCTGCCAGTCGGGGGTTCCCCGCCTGAAGTGTCAGGTTGAAAAACGGCTGCAGTACGAGTCAAACGTTAGCTACCTGGTGATTTGCCGCCGTGACACAGAACAGATTTGAGACCAGCTTATACACACCTCCCAGCCAATGGGGCTCTTCTTCGTTTTCGAAATCTCTTCAATCTCGCTCCAATCTCGTTTCACGACCAATGCACGCAGGCTGCAAAACAGAAAAACAAAAGACATTAGTGAAGCGTCACATCATTATAGCAGAGACAAAACAAATAGCCGATCGGCAACTCTCGCGAGTGATCAACGTACCGAATCCACCATGCAACCTTTTCTGAAATTTTGAATTCGCTCTGAATCTTCTTCGCGCGGCCATTATAGCCTAGTCGAATAAGTTTAAACATGGTTTCGTTGACGCTCAGCCCCGAGAAGGAATCAGTCAAATCTCGATCTAAGGATTCTTGCAACCGGAGCAAAGTCGTCGTCTCCTTCAACGAGTACAGCTCTGGCAGATTCTCTTTGGAATCAGAAAGTAGTTTGGCCGCCAATGCCAGCTTATCCGAAGCAGTACGGGCATCTGGCTGCTGTAACGATTCGCGGATAAACACATTTGCTCCATCCGCTCGGCGGTCGTCTTGGTAATACAGGTCCTTGAGAACGCCGTTGTCGCCTTCGGTAATCGCTAATGCTTCTACCATTGCCGATGCCGTTGGTCGAGAGTTAATCACACGGAAAAACGATGCTAGCGGTAGCTTCTTCTTCAATTTCAGCAGCACAGACAGAATCAAATCGCTATCCCCGCTTTCAATCGCCTTGTCTAGTGCAAGCTCATCTTCCTCCATGTCCAATAAGAGGGGTACTTGTCTTCCCCCTCGGGGTTCATGATTCAGAAGTTCTGTTGCTAGGCGGCCACGACCTTCGTGATACGCTGTCCTTGCAATCTCCTCAAATGAGATGCCTGGTTTGCCGGATAGTCTTTCAACTACCAGTCGACAGATCGTGTCGTCATTTTCAGCTCCATTTCGTACCTTCGTAGATGCCCAGTGTACGTATATACGGTCCGTGGGTAATTTCAGGTAGCCAGCAATCTTCAACGCAAGAAGATAGTCATGCCTTTGGAGAAGGCGTCGAATTATTTTCTCCGGCGTAAGACGGTGATATTGTTCAAAAGACAGAGGCATCCCAACATTAAAATCACGTATTGCGTTCAAGACTCGCAACGTCTCGCACATGTCCACAAAGTCATCGCTGTTGTAGATATCCAGGACTGACTTGCCAAATGAAGCTGCCTTCAAAAGCCGTTTTTGCCATTTGACGTTAAATTCCCGGCCCGCCGCATTAACGCATGTGTCAACTGCTTCAGTAAGATTCGCACGGATGAGTTGAATATAGTCGTCTGCTTTGGGTGATTCAAGTTCCAGTTGGCCAACAGCGTCCAAAAGAATGGAGGCAGGCGAAGATTCAGATGCATGGCCAAAAACGTCCAGTGTGTCCGACGGTATTCTCTCCAGAAATTCGCAAAAGTCGTTTGTAATAAGTCGCGCACCATCATACTCTACCGCGACGTTAGTGCATCCTAATCAATATAAAGAATGTCCGGTTGGATACGGAGCATACCAGAAATGACATGTACTCTGGTACTATCGTAGATGTAAGACAATGACTGGTCACCAGGACCGATTACATGTACCTCATCTTCCCATGCAATCAGTGCATCTGTTCCGCACCATTCGACGTATTTTGGAGGTGTTTGTGAGTCGGAATTATGTTCAAAGAGCGGTTCTTGGAAGTCGCTTGTGATGACATGTGCGGTTCCCGTCTTTGAATACAAGTTGACGTATCGACCGTCTGGAGAGACGCTGATGTGACTAAAGGGGCCACTATCAAGAAAGCGATCTTCACAGTCTGCCGCATCTACCACGTATACTGTAGAGCCGATGCTCAGGAGAACTTCAACAGACCGGGATAAGGTATGGTCTGGTGATATAATTGCCCAGGAGTGAATCTCAGCTTCGGGTGTGGTTGCCAAAAGCTTTGGACGTGGTTCTGCGTATGAAGACACCGTGACCAAGGAGTTATTGCCCAGCAAGGCTACCATGCCGTTGTCGTAAAACCTGTAAACTTTGTATCAGAGTGTTTATTCCTTGGGGAGGGGTCATTAAGGGGAGACCTTACCGGCATGATTCGACGCCATAATTGTCTGCGCCATGGCCTAGCGAAAAATTACTGAAGTCGCCTTGCAAATCATAGCATCGTACATTGCCGTCAGCGGTTACCACCAATAAAGACTCGTCTTCCGACCAGCCCAGCCCTTTGATGCGGCTCTTGTCCCAAGGAATGGAGCGGATTTTCTTTCCCGCCAAGCTGTAAATATCAATTTCAGACTGCGTAGATCTCCCAGGCTGAAATAAGTGAAACTTTGAGTCGTCACGCCATAAAGCTGAGTCGTCGTTAGCAAAATGACCAAGAATGGACAGCAGTGCTAGGTAGTGCACAGTCTCATCCGAGCTTTGAGAATATTGCAGTATTCCCCAGGCCAGGGGAGCGTTATCGTACCTAATGCGCCGGCATATGGGGCTCCAGCAACGAGATAATTGTCAAGGTCTAAATCCTCATCGAACACCTCGGTGTACTGCTGGGTCTTGCGAAACCACTTGTCCCCTACGCTCTCCCAGTCTGCTCTTGCGTCAAGGGTGCCCATCATAAGTTGCGGTTCATTCTGGGTCGCCTCACTTCATGCACATTTGCGGGCAGGATGAAGAATAGGGACGCGTTGCCGAAGCTGAGCTATCAAAGCCGAAAGCTGTGAATCTCGACAATAGAGAGTGCTAGCTTCCCCCATATGCGAGAGACAGCTATCATTTGGCGGTCGCGTCACCAAGCCCGAGTGCTCCTGCCAATTTGTGGGGCTATTCCTCGGCTAAATGAGGATGCCGCTAGCTTCGACTCTTGCTTGTCACTTATTACAGGAATGAAAGGAACTGCCCCGCCATGCGTAATGTATCCATTCCCCGTATCTCATCCGTCAAATCGGTTATCAGTTAATAAAACGTAGCCATCGAGTTCCTTACAGTTGAGACCATACTAGCTGCTGATCCCCTTCATCCGATATGCCGAACTGGAGAGACGAGTATCTCTCATCCCTCAAGGATGCCGAGCTTCAGAACCCTGTGAACATGGAGTTGGTTCAGACATGTCGGTTCACATCCTACTGCCCCTCACTCTCACTGAGCACCAGGTGATGTGATGTGCTGCCTGCTAACTCTCTGCCCTGGCAGGTTCACAAATGGCCGATCGAATATCCGCGTTGGAGGCGGAAAAGGCAGCCTTGGAATCACGAGCCTCAAACGTAAATGTCGGTAAGCTGGCATCAGGATCAAAAGTTGGGGATGCTTCAGCCACAGACGATCCTGGCGTCGCTCAACTTCGTCTTGACCTTGCCGAGTCTCTTCGGTCCAAGGGAGTGACGGAAAGTCGGCTACGGACGGCAGAGGAAGAACTGTCCAAACTACGAACTAAGTTGAAGGATGATTCGCGGTCCATCAGAGATCTCACTACTGAGCGAGCCACCCTCACAACCAGGCTAAAGGATCGGGAGCATGAAATTCGAGAGAAACGAAAGTTGCTCGAGGTATGGAGCTGCAGATCCAGCGACCCATCAAACTGACTTCCCAAGTTACACAGTATTAACTCTCATCACAGCAAGTACAGGATGAAATGATTACTTTGAATCTTCAAATGTCAGTGGCCGAGAAAGAAAGAGACAAGGTGAAGAAGGAGAATAAGGAGCTCGTTGACCGATGGATGAAGCGTATGGCACAAGAGGCTGAGGCCATGAATCTTGCCAACGAACCGATGTTCGACAAATAGACCGAGTCACAGTTGCCCTACGACCATTCGAGCCAGCCTTTGAGCCGTTTGCAATGAAGTTGAGCCCCATGCAGGGCTGCATTGTTGGTATGTGCTCTATGCTAGCTATTCGTCACTCCAACGAACCCACAATATTGCAAAAACAAGCTATGATGTATGCGCGCGCGTATGCAGAAATGTTCCTTATCCAAAGCTCGGCTTCCACCGCTAACAATATGAATGCTCTCTAGTTCTACTACTTGCGTGTGGAGATGAAATATGATCCACCAGCATTGGTCCAACTGACAAAGCCCTCTGGGTATAAACACTCTTCCACATCAAGAATGGTGCTACCAACGTCATTGATGTTGTGGCTACTCTTGAAGTCAGCCACGAAGGACCTGAGCGAAATGATCTTGCAGCCTAATTTCAAATCCAAGAACATGCGCACCAAGTCATCGTTCAGCTGAGATGTAAAGGCTTTGTTGTTGACGAGAACGACATCGGCTCGTTTCAGGGCCTCGTGTATGGCGGTGTTCTTGCGAAAGTCGCCTCTCTCGAGGTGAGACTTGCCAGGCTTGATTCCCCACAGCATACATCTGGCCTCGAACTCTTTGATCTGGGCATCGGCCAGATTGCAGGCGTTTTCCATCATTTCGCAACCCCAGCTTTCACATCCGATTTCCAATGCAGCTTGTAAGCAGACATTCCCAACCCCGGATCCCAAATCCACAAAGACTTGATCCGACGTCATCTTGGTCTGTTCAACTAGAAGCTTTGATATGAAAGGGTGCAGAAGTTCTCCATAGACATAATCGGTGCCATTTTCGTACTTTGACAGCAGTTCGACTTTGGGAGCAACCGTTCGATCATAGACTTGATCCAGAATAAAAGCCACAAATTGTCGTGGTAGTTCGTGCATCTTATCAAGGTTTTTTGCAATGATTCCATCCTCGACCATTCCTAGTAAAGTCTCATTGTATTCGTGGATTGCAGCTTTGAAACCAGCCAGGTCTTGAATGTTCCGATTTGACGCCTTTTCCAAACGTCGAATAAGACCCGTATTGTGGTTAGTGAACGGTTCAGCTTCATCTTCGGTGAGATATGTTTCGGCGACATGGCGAACGATTCTTATACTAGCCTCAACCGCGTCTATTTTATCCTTGCCCCAGACAAGCTCAAACCTAGAAAAATTCGTCAGTCATATAACTCTGGCGGGCGATGGGCATGGCTGAAAAGACGGAGGAGTATCGGAGACGCACTTCTCTCTAGGCTGCAAACTGGGATACTGCAACTCTATGGCAACATCCTCCTTTTGCGCACCCATGACAGGCACGCATTTCTCTTCCAGCGAAGCGACCTCAACGGCGTGGACAAATTTCAGATTGTCGTTGCGTCCCTCAAAAGCCCGGAAGTGTCTAAGCTTGCGGTTGGAATCCAGGTGCTTATCCTCGGAATTGCCTCTTCGCTGCCTCTTGCGGGTATCCAAATTCATCCAGCCATCATCCTCGGCGTCGCTATCCTTGTCAAACGTTATACGCTCGCTCGCGGGGGACCGTGTCGTGGAGGAGACAGTGCCCGTCTTGCGCTTCCGATCAAGTCGCTTTTCGTCAGATGATGAAGGATTAGGCGAATGACTGGCGTAGCGGACAGCCGAAGGCTTAGGCGACGGACGGTAAACGGGAGACGAGCGCGATGACGAGGCTCCCGCGGAGGCCGGGCCGGGGCGAGATTTCGGCTTTGGTTTGCTCGGGGTCGGGGCACGTTCGACAATAACCTTTTCGATCCGGATCTTGGGCGGGTCAACCTTGAACTTGTTGCCCTTGCCGCCGAGGAGAGGCATGGCGACAGAGAGGAAGGTGGCTTAAACAAGCCAAAGTCAGAAGTCGATAGCGGGAGTAGGCGGGAGGTGACTTCGAGGCAGATCGGAGGGGTCAGACAGTCTCTCTGGTTGTGGCGGTTCGCGACAGTCTCTAGTAAATATGTCTTGTGCCTCGTGCCTCGTGCCTCGTGCCTAGTGTCTCATGCACTAGCCAGGTCAAGCCTCGTCGCAACGACCAGCGACAGCGACGGCGGCGGGCGGCGTGGGGGTGGTTAGAAGGGTCAAGAAGTGTACAGAAGAAAAATACAGGAGAGAAATAGACGAGGGGAACACAAAATAATAGAAACAAAGACAATACTACGTCTGGGCTGCTATGCAAAAGAAAATGCGCAGTTGTGTCAAGAATCAGGGTTGAGGTGCGACGACGAAGAAAAGAGGCGTCGGCGTCAGACAGCCAGTTGTCTTGCGTGTCTCTGCGCCTTCCGCCTCTGTGGGTGTGTGCGGCCCTGCGGGTGTCGGGGTGTGCCCAGGAGCGCTTGGTGCTGCACAGTGCGCAAGGATTGGCCAGCGGGGAAGGTCCTTACGTGTGCCCATGTGAACCCAGTGCGGACTGCCAGCACACGGACTCCGTACTCCGTGTTATTCCAGGACATCCAGAATATATACATGCATGCACGGGGACGTCGCACGCATCTCATGCACTCCGTCCCGGCTGCCTGGCAGCGTGCCCGTGTTGGATACTGCACAGCCCTGAATTCGCGAAATCTGTGCGACGCCCGCCTTTGTTTAGCCACAGCGCCGAGTCGGATGCCCTCGCCCCTTGTCCGTACATGACGAGCAATCAACATGACGAGAAAGAACTAGAGCCTGCCGCCTTGTCTCCCTAGAGCTGCTAGATGCCGGGGAGCGGCTGCATCTAGACTGACCGCATAATTTCAGCCACGTATGCAAGAAGCAAGCATTCAACCTTGTTCATACCCGCGCCGGTGGCTTCCCCGAAAGGACCGACTTTCCCTGGCAGCAGTCCAGCCCGGCTTAGCAACCGAGACCAATAACTGTTTCCGCCCCGGACGAATATCAACACGTCACCAAGTCAGGTTTTGGCCTGGGACTGATCATGTATGCGACGTAGGCTAGCTGTGGCGATGAGGGTTGTCGCAACTCCGGCCCAGGTTAGCTCCGTCCGGGACGGAGGCAAGTTCATCCCCGGAGTAGCCAAGGGCCTTTGCGATGCTGCGTCCGGCGTTGTTGTCGGCGTGGACTACGGTCGAGCAGCACCTGGCTACGTGGGAGTAGATTTGGTGAGTCTTCGTTGAAACACTAATCAGGCGTGTCAACTACGACTATCGAGTGAGAAACCTCGAATCCGAAGATATGCTTTGTAGATGGACCTAAGCCGGACAGTCATACCCAACAGCCTTTTACGTACGGTCATGTAAATGATGTCTGTGGTTTGGTAATTTCGATGGTCTCAGTCCATAACAGGCAGTTTTTCGACCTGTCACTCGCCTACAGCAGAGCTTCCACGTAGACTAAGCAGTCCATATCTGGGCTAGAATCCAGACCTTGAGGTGGCATTACAGACAACTCATCAGATCGGCCTGTCTATGGTGAATGGGAGAGGTCTGCTGGGCAGAGGCTAAATTATAAGATGTTTGCTTTCGCCCACCATAGGCGTATGTGGTGGCAGGGTGGTGGCAGCCCAAGTATGTCATTCGATGGCGCTGATCCAAGGCTATGAGATGGCCGACCGAAGTTCAATCATGGCCACGCTTCTCTCTCTTTAGACACTTGCTCCCAGGATCAAGTGCCACCATCATAAATTGCCATGCGGCGTGGCGATTAGAGTTTACGTAACCGGGCATGTCGTGAGTCACGAGTCCACGAAAGTCATGAAGTGACTGTAAGAAACATCGGAAAGCATTGAACACGTTTCAGAAAGCACACACGTTTCTTGGAAATTAATAAAATCATGGGACAACCGTTTCGTTAGCTGAGATGGTGACGTGTAATGACAAATAGCGGGTAGTAAGTAGCATGCTGTAGTTTGAAGGCTACCCACGCATACAGGGCCACGATCTTGTACCAGGCAGGAGTATTTTCAAATCAATGACCAGGGCTGTCACGTTTAGCCTGATCTTCTCTGATGTCGGTCTTCTGAGCATAGTAATTCACTGTTCGCTCTCAACTGCAACTCGTCGAGAGACGACCAGAGTACGGCCCTGGAACAAAAAAAGAGTGAACTTGCGGTTGATAAGCAATAAAACGATAAACTAGAAAAAAAAAATGTCAAGCTCCAAGTACGCAAGAAAGGTCTTGCACTAAGGAGCAAAAAGATCAGCTCGTCTCCCCCGGAAAGGCTCGAACTTTCAACCTCCTGATTAACAGTCAGACGCGCTAGCCAATTGCGCCACGGAGGAGCTGTTGCCAACCGGACTCTTATCGTACCCTAAGACCGCGACTGCGATTTAGTTACGGCCAAAAAAAAAAGAATCTCCCCCGGAAAGGCTCGAACTTTCAACCTTTTATAATCTATTAGCAAATATTTCCACATATCACAAGTTATCGGTTCTCTAACTCACCTCCTGATTAACAGTCAGACGCGCTAGCCAATTGCGCCACGGAGGAAAGGTTGGCGGCCCCGGAATCTTATCGTAATTTAAGAGCGCGGCTGAGATATATAGCCACAAAAAGCAAAAAAATTTCTCCCCCGGAAAGGCTTGAACTTTCAACCTCCTGATTAACAGTCAGACGCGCTAGCCAATTGCGCCACGGAGGAATTGTTAGTAAGCAGGCAGCTTATTGACTCTAGTCAATTAGCTGGAAAGAAGTCACTGTCATGACCAATGGCCAACGTAGTGGAAGGAGATAAGTGACCGCATGGCGCGGCAAAGTTTACTGTGCAAAGCTATTACATGTCTGAGAAATTTTGCGAATAACTTCACTCCCCCTTGTTGTGATTCAATCTGCAGCCAGGTTGTAGACGTACCGTATATGGATATTGGCAATGACAAAATTCGCATCATTTTTTCCGCGAAATTGTATGGGGTTCACCACACTCTAAACTTGAAAGGGTTCTACCTATTCGAGCCAAACTCTTTGATCCAGACTCTTCCTGCTGCATACATGACGCACCGTAGCTGGCAATTGGTCAATCACCAGGCGTTTGAGGATAGACGTGGTACAGGGTAGGCCACTAATCGGTGATGGTATTTTTCAGCAGTGGTAACTAACCTTTGTCTTGGCAACACTGCCAAAATGCCGAATTATGGTACTGGAAGCATGTTATGTGTCTCTTCGTAGAGCGTAATAAAGCACGATGGTGTCGAAGACAGGGGCATTTCATTTTAGACGAAGAACGGAGGAATTCACTGGTTTGCGTAACACCGTCTGGTGGGATTCATGCAAACGAAGCGACCGACTTCGCTGTCCTACCCTCAAGGCTTACCTTGTACACGTAGTATATTAGACTCTTCTTTCCGTCGTTTCTATAACGGCTTGTAAAAGGGCCTATATAATTTTTAGACGGACACACTTTATTGTAAAGGCATCTGACCGACTTTATCAAGAGGCGTAAAAAAGCGGGGCTGTTTCTGTACGACCCTCATGTAATTAATTAGCGACGTCTTTTCACAACAATCGGTCGTCCTCCGTGGCGCAATTGGCTAGCGCGTCTGACTGTTAATCAGGAGGTTGAAAGTTCGAGCCTTTCCGGGGGAGATTTATTTTTTGCCAGGTTTACCATGTCGTTTACCATCTTTTTTTTGGGCTCCTGTCCTTTGGCTATTTATTATTGTTTAGACCATCGTCGAGCGGCCCTTGATTGCGGTCTCTTTTTCGCCGTTTTATGAGACAGCATGCTTAGCTACTATAGTATCCATTGTGTCATCATGCATGGAACTGATGCGTTGATTCTATCCGAGACAACACTAGAAGATACAGGAGAGAAAGTCAATCCCATGATAAAGTTATTTGGCTACGAGGTGAAAATAAAAGAAGCACGGCGAATAACTGTCTCGCCTCTTTCTGGCCAGACGAGAACAAGCTAGGCAATGTGATAGCCGGAAGATAACGGCAATCAAGTCTCTAGCTATAACTGCATCCCCTTTCATGTAATGAATTACTTCTCCCTAATCTTGCAAGTCATTATATTCATCGGTAAGGCGCTCGATACACCATTCAGCTGGTCAACAAGAATGTTGATGCACATGAAAGTCGCAATACCACCTGCGCAGTTGCCCGCTGCATCATTATAAGGCGCCCTGAGACCAAGCCGATTTGCCGGGTCGCTTGTCGTAGCATTCTCGGCTTTAAATCGGGACTGAGGAGCTTCTCGAAGAGCTGAATAGTTAGGTCCCCAATAATTACCAGGCGTAATACGCCTCTGTAAGCGACGATGTATCGCGTCATGTAGTGTTCGTGCCGTCTCGGTGGCGGAGCAAGCAGCCTGTCGACGGAGGCAAAGGCTGGCAAAGTAAGCAAAACTCACCATTGGGTCTGGTGAGAGCATCAATACTCAAATCTATCACATCTTTACACGGGTTCCAGCGAAAGGTAGCCTGGAGCTCCTTAACAGAGAGCATTGGAGACATTGAGCCCTCGACCCAAGCGAGAGTCTTATGCTGCCACGTATTTATAAGCCTCGGAAAGATTGTGATAATCTGGAACAAGAGACAGCCCCAAAACTCCAACAGATTCAACTCTGTCTCTGCTGCAGTGTCCGCGTACAAGAAGATAATGAATGCTGAATTCGTGTCTGTCTACTAGTCTCCTACGTCGTAGAGATGGGAGGCATGTTTGTGGCTATACCAAAATGTCGCAATGGGCTTAGATTTCCTAGGTCAAGTTAATGCTTTGCTCAAGATAGGCAATGAAAAAGTGTACGTACATTCTGCGCCTCGAACCTGAAAGGTCTCCTGCAAGGCCGGTGAAACTATTCTGCCACTTATAATAATGCGCATCGAATGAAGAAAGGAAACAAAATTTACTCAGGATGTCTAGTATGATATTCCCACCTGATCTGGGGAATTGGCTCGTCGTCAAGTAAACGAAAGATCTCAGGCGGTCAAACTGACTGTGACAAATTCTCCATCAACTGTGCATATATAGGAACCGGAATTTGCCTTGACAATGTATACATAGAGTACTTATTTCATTTTGCTTTGCTTGTAGTATAAGAAGAATTTATTTCTATCTTATTTGAGTTGAAATAATATTTCTCGCTCTTATCTTAGTGCCTCATTATTATAACCGTAGTTTAGTTATAGGCTGGACAGAACTTGTACGGCCCAATGTCGCTTGGCCCTTTCATCTACGCCTGCATTTATTTAGTTGTCATTTAGGCATGTCCAAATACTCGGTCGATTGGCATAGATTAATTTGATGCTCTTTTTAGATCCTTATTAATATGGAACTCACCATTGCGGGTTGAAGCCTCTGCTAGTAGATGTGACTTGGACGGCTACCGAGACCATGGTGTGCTTTGGCTTGTCATTTGGGCCAACAAACGAAATACATTTGTTGATGCAAGTTGGAAGGACCCCAGACCCCTAGATTCGAGTACGACTTTGCGAGAAAGTCTTTCCAGTGGAGAATGCGACTCTGAAGTGGAAATTTGTTCATGACACCCCCCCCAAAAGGTCATTGGGTTTGTGACCACGAATACGGTTTGCGGACCCTCTTGACTACACTTGACACATCCTATAGTCTACTAAGAAGCCCAGCAAGCCCGTTGTCATTATCCAATATCGTCAGCGGAGGACAAGCCGCCAGACCAATCAATCTGTAGACAAATACCCCCCGGACCAATGGCACAAGTGGCGGCCACTGCCACTCTCTAAGCACTCGGTAAATGACAGCAGGATGTCGATCCACAAACACGGCAGCTCTAGTTTGAGCCTCTTTCACGTCAAGCGTGGCGTTTATGCCTGTCCCGCATCTCCATCTCGCTGTGGCGATTTGACCAGACCAAGAGGCGTCGTTCAGAAAAGAGCGGATGAACCACTGACTCTAGGCCTAGTCAGGGGCCCAATGCAGAAATCCAAAGCCCAATTAAAATGAAAGCATCGACGACAGCGTCCCCAGAGGGCTAGATGGACTGCTGGGCTATGGAGACACTGGCCGTTGAAGAGGGGATCCGGGGCCCTCTTCCCCTCGTCAGCTCGACGGATGGCGATGGCCGAAGGGCTTGGGGTGGAAGAAACAAGGGTCAGGGTGCCAGTCAGGCAAATCGTGCCTTTCTTTGCAATCGTGGAAATTTGTTTGGTCGAGACTAGGCATTTGGATCAAGGCCTGTTTCATCTTGCCCCATGGAACCCCCCTCGACCTCTGCCCCAACAGAATCCCATCATCTGCCAAGTTGATCTGATTTCCTTCCATGTTCCTGTAGACATACACACAGGTACGCGGGACTCTATGAGACACAAGGTGCCTGAGCATCAGGCGCTATACTGTAAGGTGCCGTAGGGCATTCGTTAGTGTGGAAGCTGTTCGGCACGCCTCCAAGCCATGGCGCTGCGGTGCTTGGATCTAACGCATGGTCCTGACTCTGAACCCGTTGCTGCCACCTAGGTCGACCAGTTCGGCCCGCTAGCTCAAGTGATAGACCGTAGTGTGCTCGATATCCGGAGTGTACGTACGGACCGAATTCTTGGGGTGGATGTTGGCTTCCACGAGGGTGCTTCTCCGCGACCCAATAGTCGGAGAAACTGGAAATAGTCAGCACCGCTACGATATGTAGCGTAATGAGTAATGCATACATACCTAGGCATGTAATGCTAGCAAGACTTGCTGTATCTTTCGTACGGAGTAGAGGCGTCGGGATAGGGCTGGGTGAACCATCCTTGGCAAGTATCCTTGCTTGCGAGGAAGGAGAGCGTCGTCTTGGAGAGCTTTGTAAATCCCCGTCGGATATATTTCGACGGAGACGAGAGCGGCCCGTTGCAAAAAAAAGGAAGGAGCAAAGGCCCCAGATCCATTTTCTCTGTCAACGCCAACAACGGCATCCGACTCCAAACCCTCAGCCCAGCGAAAACCAACCGCAAGAAAAAAAAAACAAAAACGGCAGGCATCTAATATGCCGCGCATGCTCCGTCCATCACAATCACAGCCTTCCCCATGATTTTACCCGGGGGGCTGGTGGCTCCCCCAAGTCCCGCCACCATCTGCAACGGCACTCGGGCGCACTCCAACTTGGCCGACGCCAGCGCTCTCCCGTGGCTGCAAACTGCCTGGCATATATCCAAAGGAATCCAGCATGGCCGTTTCCCGGCGGGGCGGAAATCGGAACTGGGAAGAGGAAGAAGAGAGGGCGGTCCCCCAACCCAGCCTGCCTTGCGGTGGCATCAAGCTTTAATCTACGCCAGTTCTGGCAGATCAAGGAAAATCGAGATTCCAATTCAAGAAAAGATTCTCTGTTGTGGCGAGGAAAGCTTGGTTTTCAACTTTGCAATTTTGCGTCCAACGTTTCTTCCCCCCGTATGTACAATTATGCATGCATACCCTCGGAGGAACACCCTTGGGGGGAATGAATACCCCTGGAGCATGGCATGATTTTCTTTGCCATGACGCCGGCACCGCTATGCCGCAGTCAAGCAAGCCGCGTAGTACTAGTAGTACTGCGGGCGAGGAGAAACAAAAAACCACCGGACAAATCCATCTCATTGACCCATGATCCCGGGCGGATGGGGGGCAGCAGATCAATTGATGTCACCCGTACATACATCCATACATCAAGTACCGGTTGAGGGCAAAGTCCCAGTGGGCTCGAATTGACGGGAAAAGGCACGAGACCGATTTTGAGTTGCTTCAAGTGGCCCGCGGTGGCGGTGGATGAGCTGGATATGGGAACATCCAATGGCTCAATTGGTCAGCGTCCACATCTCTTGTTCCCGTCCCTGTCAGGCGCTTTCCTCGACTGCCTGGGAAACGGGACCATGCTTGTGGGGAGGGGGAAGACTGGGAGGAACGAGGCTTAAAAACAGCGTGTATTAATTGGGGGCTCGGAAATCGCCTTCCGTCCTTACTCCGTACTCTCCAAATGTCACCAGGCCCTGCATCTTCCACGGCCCTACGAGAGACACTTGGGTCTCACATCCCGACATCTCAAAAGTAAAAAAGCTAAGCAAGACAGGGCAACGATAGGCAAGGCAAGTCACCATTCCCGCGTCAACTTGACTGGGAGTGCTAGCACGGAGTACTACGAGTCTGGATCCCGCCATCCCCCCGTCTCCCCATCGTCCATCATTCATCATCCGTCCGCCATGTCAACCCCAGTTCTCCACAGGAGGTGCAAAACCACCGAGCCGGCGCTCAATCGCAGCCCGGCCCTTTCTCTATCACACCAGTCTGACCAGTCGGACCCTTGTCGAGGCGCTCCTTTGCAACGCCTAGCAGCTCTTAGCAACTCTCTGTGAGGAAAGAGCTGGCGACTTGCGTCGGTGGGGTGGGATGTGCCGCCCATCCCTGCCCGCTGGTCTTTCAAGGTGTTGGTTGTGGCTTGTTTCCTTGTCCCCTTGTCATAAAAGCGGTAGATATACCCAGAAGCTCGTCTGGCATTCACCTTGTTTGCGGTTGTCTTTGTCGCTGTCAACCGTGAGTTACAAAAACGATGACTACACTGGGTCCAACGTATCATCAAGTCTACGTGTCCGGTGTCGCAGTGTTGTCATGATTTATTATCGTCTCCGCTCGACCTGAACTTCTCCGATGACCCTGAGCTCTTTTATCAACACCACCAAGCCCCGAAATACCTCATATTGCCCGCCGCTTTCTCTCTCTTCTAACCAAAAGTCAAAACGACAACTTGAAAGTCCAACTCACCGGTTCCCCCCCTTACCAATCTCCCACCATGCCGTTCAGAGAATGGGCCACGTCCCTCAAATCCTCGCGCACAAGTTCGCTCGACCCTTCGTCGCGCCGCATCTCTGAGACGTCCCTCTCAAACACGGACATCAACGACAGCGAGCGCACGCTCGTCGGCACGCTCGAGGTTCAGGACCTGCACTATTATCCCGGCGGTCAGGGGCGCCGCTCGCTCTCCGTCGTCTCGCCGACTCCGTCACATCAGCAGCAGCCCCAGGTGAACCACCAGTCCAAGGATGGCGGCTGCATCCAGAGGCGGATAGATTATTTCGTCATCGAGGATGACCGATACGCCGTCCGTTTCGGCAACTACACCGGGGTATGGGCAGGCAACGCGGGCGTTTCTGTGCCGCAGACGAGAAGTCGATACTTTGGAGACCACATCCACCAACATGCCTACAACACGAACAAGGTCTAAAGATGCTGCCTGCTCTACACTATTGCTCGCTTCAATACGCCGGTTTACATTTTATTTTTCGTCTGTTGTTTTTATTCAGTTTCTCTCCCTCTTTTTTTTTTTTTTTTAAATTTTTTTTTCTTTTCCATGTTGTATATTTTATACGCTCTCCATTTGGGACGGATATGAAGAGTCGGGATAATCTTAAAGGGGCCGGTGTTTTTGTATGGAGAATCTTGCATACTGTTGTTTTCTGGTCCTTGGTTTAGTGCGGTGGTACGGAGTACATGATGGATGCATGGCTATTACTAGATGTTTTGGCTTGTGTCTGTTTTCATTTTCATTTTGGGGGTCTCGGTTTGGCTGCGGCATCTAAATTAGCGTGGCGTCTGCAAGGCTTGTCGGAATACAATGCTACATTTGATTGAAATCAAGAGTCTCAATTATCCAGACGTTGGATACCACGGCGGGCTTGCTTTTGCGCAAGGTCGAGCTGCGAGGTGGAGATTTGGGGCGCGTCTCGGTGACGAAAGGGGCGTTGCATCGAATATAGTTGGCCGATCGCTTGGCTACTTCTTTTATGATGCTGGGGTCCGTCTTATGCGCAAGGTGGGCTGAGCCGAGATGTAAAGAAGTCTGGTCCCAAGTCAACATTGAACCTTGCGGGCGCCCTGTCATTACCGGAATGCTCCGCAGCGAGAGCCGTTGGCAGAAGAAGCTCGTATTGGAACTGCCTTTGCTGAGGAATCTTTTCGCCCGACCCCTGCGCGCAATAAAGCTTGTCCCTGAGTTTGTATTGCGCGTACAACATGCATACGCTCCGAGCCCTGGTCCGTCGTTTCTTTCAGTGCAACTTGACACTTTGGCCAAAACATTGTACGCAGCATGTCCTGTCCAACGTTGACGTCTTGTGGGCACCGCCTTGCCTGCCTTGCAATGATACGTATACGGAGTAGCAGATGCCGACTCGACTCGACTCGTTGCCATGTCCATGTCCGGCTTGGCAAACGACCAACTAATCTGCTCATGGGGAAGAATCTTTTTCCTTCTTTTTAATGAAAGGAAAAAAAAAACACCCCGGGCCAAATATTTGTGGACACGAGGCGTCGCGAGGGTCAAGCAACGCTGATGTGTGCATTTTTGCGTCGACGGTGTTGAATTGCAGTGCCCACCAACAGAGCCACCTCGCATACTTATGTAGGGATGCTACTACAGCAATGTACAACAAGCCAGCAGTTTCACGAGCTATTTGGGGGTGGAGTCGAAATAATCAATTCTCTTTTTTTGTTGCTGGCAGCCGCAAGGGATGTCCGGCTGCGCCGAGGAGAAACCAACCTCGCTCCTGGATGCCCACTGGGGAACAAAGGGCATTATCGTCCTGGTGTACGCCCATGCCGGCTTCGTTTATACTTGTAACATACCTAGGTAGGTACCCAAGGTATTTTATATTACTTTGCTTCTCCGGACTCGAGTGTTTGCTCGTCCGGAATATGCCGCTGCCGAATATCGTTGTGGCTCCGGCCCTGTTTACGGGGCACACATAGTTATGTTGTACATACATTTATATAATCAACCGAGGTAGGGGGCGACCCGTGGCCTTGCTCTTGTGTGGTTTCAAGGAGCTGAAAACCCTAACCTTAATTTCAAAAAAAAAAAAAAAAAAAACCCAATTCGCAGCTCCGCCGCTTTTGCCTACCGCTTCATTGTCCTCTGCTTCTCCGCGTCGGTGGCCACGTTCCTGCCCTCGACCAGCAGGCCCTTCTTCCTCCTCACTCTGTCCATGTACCTCTTGGCGACGTTCTCCCTGTCGGCCAGCTCGCCCAGGTCCTCGAGGTCGTCCTCGGTGAAGGGCACCCAGAAGGGGTCCTGGTCGAGGACCTCGAAGCCCGTAAAGACGAGCTGCGGCTGCGCGGCGCCGCTGGTCCTCTTGCGCATCTCGTCCGCGAACCCGAAGCTCTCGGCCACGGGGAGCACCGCCCGCACCGTGAAGAAGGGCGTCCCCTCCTTCATCGTCTCCGCCACCACCCGCCCGCGCCGCCGCGTGAGCACGTCGTACACCCGCCCGAGCACCTCGGTCGACGCCTGGATCTCCACGCTGTACATGGCGAGCATGAGCCGCGGCGACCAGTCGAGGAAGCCCGCCCGCAGGGACGCCTGGAATGTCTTGATGACCTCGCTCGTCAGCCGGCTGAGCTTGTCGCGCGCCGAGCCGTCGTCCTCGCCGCCGCCGCCGTCGAGCGACACGTCCTCGATGAAGACGGCGACTCCTTGCATCGGCTCGTTGCAGAGCGGGCCGTGCGCCGTCGCCAGCTGGAACGCGTATGTAATCTTGTCCGATAGGTGACTTGGGTCGAGGGCTTCGCCGGCGCGAGGGGCCCGTGTGGTTTCCCTGGCCTCGGTCCCGAATGCCTTGGGGAGAATGCTGTTCTTGGTCGCGTCGATGAGCAGGTTGGGGCCTGTCCTCCTGGGTCCAAAGGCGGCGATGCTGTCGACTCGGTTCTTCCACACGTCTCGCCCTTTGCCCGTCTCCAGCTGCTTCTGAAGTTGCTTCCTGAGCTCGTCGATGGAGAGCGAGTCGACGGCGGTCACGGCCGTGTCGGCAACAATCTTGTCCTCCTGGCCGTCTGGCTGCTCCTGCTCCTGCTCCTCGCCGCTCTCGCCTGGTTTGGTTTCCGTGTACAGGCGCTTGATGGCGTCGGCGTTCTTGAGCAAGAAATCCGTGACGTCGGGGGGAAGAGGTCGCACCCGTAGCGATATCGTGACTTGTTTTGACGTCGTAGTCCCCACCACGGCGCCTCTGCCGAGGTCCTTGTTCACGGGAGGTCGCATCTCGTCCACTCGTACAATCGTCTCCCTGTACGGAACAATGGGCTCTCCAGCCTGAATGTCACATCGTGCAAATCTCTCCTTGAGATCGGTGAGACACCGCTCCAGGTGGAGTTCGCCAGCGGTCAGTAATACGTGCTCGCCGCTCCCAAACTGCTCGTACTCTGCACACGGGTCGCTTTGCACCAGGAGCCCGAGACCGTGTATCATCTTGTCCAGATCGGCCGGGTTCACCGGCTCCAGGGCCACTCGCACAATGGGCTTTCCGGCCATGCTGACGCCAGCCAGGTTGACGGCGCCCTCGAGCTTGCTGCAAAGAGTCCCCGACTTGAGAATTTTGCCCTCCAAGCCACCGATGCCGAAGACGACGCCCGCAGGTACTGATTCCAGTGCCTCCAAGTTCCTTCCCATGAGCATGTATAGCGCCGTGACTGTAATCTCTTGTGGCTGTGGCTCTGCTTTTGGCTCTGCTGGTGACCACTTTGGGGGAATAACGTATAACTTGTCGCCAACTGATAGCGTTCCAGAGTAGATTCGTGCGAACCCAATCAAGTGTTCGGGGTCTGCCCTGTGTTCTCCCGGTTCATCGTCGTTGATGTGAGCGCCGTCAAGGGCCTGAGTAAGGCCATCCAATGCGTCTCCATTTGCCTCTTGCGCTGCCCTGGCAGCTTCGGCTCGCTTCTTGCGTGCCATATCTCTGGCCTCCTCGCCGCTCATCTGTCCCGGCTTTCGCTTGTTTTCAGGCAGCTCGCTCTCCGGTACGGAGACCATTTTGCTGACGTAGGCAACCACGGGGTCCGACTTTTCGCGTTTAAACGACACCATTGCCTCCTTTATGGACCTGTCGACAGCCCCTGAGCCCGGCGACTGCTCGATGAGATCCGGGACTCGCTCGGCCTGCGCAGCAGGTGGTGACGGCAAAGACTCGACAACAGAGACGAGCAGTGCCGTGGATAGAGGTAGCCACGAGGCAAATACCGTTGTTAGTAGTAATCTCGGATCCCGTGCTCGGATGACGTGCGGTGAAATAGTCAGGCTCAAAGATTTGGTGACTTTTTCCAGTAGAGACGGGTCCACCTTGCCATTGTCACCGCCGCATGTTGCCTGGTAGACTGTCCACACGGGCTCCAGAACCAGCTGGACAAACATGGGCTTGAGATTTCGGCCCTTCAGGTGTTTCTGGCCCAGGATTTTTTTGGTCTTTGGATCGAGGTAGAAGTTGCCCCATAAGACTTTTTCCATCAATCCACGCTTGATGCCGAGTTTCTTCTCATATAAACTAGCAAATTGCCGACAAGTAAATGCCCAGCCGTCAGTGGCACTACTAAAGATGACATTGTTCTTTTCCGGAGCAAAGTAGATGTCTTCATCGTCACGCTCCTCGAATTGCAGCTCCCCAGCGTCTGAAGAAAAGTCCTCGTCTGCGGATGCTTTGGCCGCCACTGCTGCATTCACCCGCTCCTCCATCCTCTCCCTCCAGTTGAGATCTTCTTCCATGCGCTCCCCTTGGAAAAAGCTCCCCAGGACGGCGTTGACTTGCTCCAGAAGCTTGCTAATATGCACGTAGGCTTCGGCAGGGGTCATCTTCAGCTCTGTAACCAGCCGGTCCATCTTGTTGATAACCAGCAACGGCTTCAGTTTTTCTGTCCAGGTTTGTCGCAGGACTGTGACCGTTTGGCTGCAAACCCCTTCAACTGCATCTACCAGAACCACGGCACCATCGCAAAGTCGTGACGCGGTGGACACCTCGCTGCTAAAGTCAATATGACCAGGTGAATCGATCAGGTTGATAAGATACTCCTTAGCCTCGGGCGCGGCTTCAGGCGCAGCTCTCCTTAGCATGGAAAAGTATAATGAGATGGCCGATGACTCCATGGTGATGCCTCGAAGCTGTTCGTCTGGCCGTGAGTCGAGGTATCGAATCTTGCCGGCGAGTTTTGGCGAGATGATACCATTTGTGGCGAGCAGGGCATCTGTGAGTGAGGTTTTGCCATGATCAACATGAGCCAAGATGCAGATCTACATGCATTCCTGTTAGTGCAGACTCATGGGATGTCTTGAGTGTCCCCTACATTTCTAATGTCCCTTGATTGCCTTTGCAGGCTTGCCAGCTTTTCTGGCGTCACGACGGGCATGATGGGATGTTCTGTCAATTTGACTGTCTGAGCCGGACTGTCTCCAAGGATGATTCTACTTGTTCCAGGCTCCGGGCCCTCGAGATTGTGAGCCCAAGACTCGATTACGATCTGAGACGGGAGTTTGGGGCTACTTGAGCTTTTTGAAGCCCTTGAAAGTGGTCAGCAAAGAGCTGTTTAGTGATTTTCAGTCGTTTGATTGGGTCATTCGTGTGACTCTTTCGATGCAAGTTGCTCCACCACAAGACACACCACTGGTTAATTCTTGGAGAATGGCAAACAGTGCCCGAATCAGAAAATATGATGCTATATGATTTGGTATGAGTCAGTCGAGTCGTTCCTTGCTGCCACAGATAGGGCCGAGAAAACCAAGTCATTGACTACAGTCCACAATATGTCCAAGGTCTACATCTCACCGCATGGCTTTTTCATGACTTCATCCTACCCCTCGCCACTGGGATAGTTGACCTCTTTAATGTGCCCCGCTTCACAACTATATGCCCCACCATCAATTTTCTCAGTACGTGCAAGCGATACGCATGTACCCCCCACAAGCGGCTACTTAGACGCATATCTGCACCACAAGCCCTAACAATACGAAAATTCCGGATGAGCATCCAGGCCCGTCAGCCAAGCGCAAAATTTCGGTGCTGTGACCCCCCCTCCCCCAACAACCCGCCTTCGACTCTCGACGGGACGACGACGAGCGACCGAACAAGATGGCGACGTACCAGAACGGCGTGGCTCCGGCCCGCGCGCTCGATGATGACAGCGACGTCGAGGAGGAAGCCCTGGTGGCCGAGTACAAGGAGCACGTCCAGTATGAGGACGGTGAGGAGCTCAGCCAAACCACTTCCCTGACCATGGCGCAACAAGCCGACGACATCCAGGCTCGACTTGTCCAGGCTGCTCAACCTCTCGATTTCTCGGCGCCCCTGGACGTCAAGTTCCAGAGTTACGACTCTTACTGCAGCTTGTTCCACTTTATCTTGAACTCCGAGGGCCCTGTCGACCTCGAGCCTCCTTCAGTTAGTTGATCCGCGGAATCAGGACAGGGCAATTGTTGCTTCCCGGTGAAATGAACTTGGACTAACAGAATATTTTTCTACAGTACTACTGGGCTTGGGATGTTATTGATGAATTTATCTACCAGTTCAACTCCTTCTCCTCATATAGGTCGCGAATCGCTCGCCAAGCCTCCAACGAGGAGGAAATCCAAATCCTCCGAGAGAATCCCAACACCTGGGGCTCATACAGTGTCCTCAATGTGCTGTACTCCTTGATCCAGCGATCTCAAATCACCGAGCAGCTCGCTGCCATGAGGCGAAACGAGGACCCCGCTGCTGTTGCTGGCGATTATGGTTCCAAGAACCTGTACAAGATGCTGGGATACTTTTCCATTATTGGTCTGCTACGCGTGCACTGCTTGCTCGGAGACTTTGGCCTCGCCCTCAAGACGCTTGATGACATTGAGCTGAACAAGAAGGCCATGTTTGCTCGCGTCATGGCCGCCCACTTCACCACGTATTACTACGTTGGTTTCTCCTACATGATGATGCACCGCTACGCTGATGCCATCCGCATGTTCAGCCACATCCTCATCTACGTCTCGAGGACCAAGAATTTCCAGAAGAACGCCCAGTACGATTCCATCACCAAGAAGAATGAGCAGATGTACGCTCTCATCGCCATTTGCGTGGCCTTCCAGCCTACGCGGTTGGATGACACCATCCACAGCGCCCTCCGAGAGAAGTACGGCGACCAGCTGCTCAAGCTGCAGCGTGGTGGCCCCGAGTCGCTGCCCATCTTTGAGGAGCTCTTCCGAGCTGCCTGCCCCAAGTTCATCTCGCCCGTTCCCCCCGACTTTGACAACCCCGAGTCTAACATTGACCCGGTCGAGCACCATCTGGCCGTGTTTATGGATGAGGTCAAGACCAACATGTGGAGCCCTACCATCAAGTCCTACCTGAGACTGTACACCACCATGGACTTGAACAAGCTTGCTGGCTTCCTTGAGGTGAAGCCCGACGAGCTGAGATCATGGCTCCTGGTGACTAAGCAGCGCACCAAGCAGTTGCGATGGAACGACCAAGGTCTTTTTGACGGTGAGCTGGTCAACGTTAGCGACCTTGACTACGCTTTGCAGGAAGTGAGTGCAGCCCCCATGTTAATTCATTCTCGTTTCCTTTTCGTTCCCTTTTCCTTTCTTTTAGTTGGAACGTGATCCATGCTAACCCCTCATCTGTAGGACCTGATTCATATTTCCGAGGCCAAGGTTGGACGCAAGCTGGTAGACTGGTACCTTCGCAACCTGTCTCGCACCTACAACTAAGCTTTCATATATTGAGCAAGGGATATGACCAAGAGAACCTGGCCGGTAAAATGGAATATTTATGAAAAATCGCCTATGCCTTGCTCAAATGTTTTAACGCAGACATGACCGCACATGCGTAGGTCTGCCGCAAGACGGGGTTGAGCAGGCAACGGCCGGGCATGTATGCAGACCCACCGAGTCGGTTGCATGGCATTTGGCGTCACGGAGTTGGGGACCTGTCACAAAGCATGATAGATTGCTGAGAAGGGAGGAGGCTAGCCTGCATGACCACAGCCTAAAAAACGACGCAGAGGGGAAAGATGTACCCCGTCAATGGACGAAGATGAACTCGTAATGCGAGATGCAAGTTGAGATTCTTAGCACCTTGGAGCATTCCAAACCACAAAATGAATGGGTTAAAATAAGAGTCCTGCACCATATGGCGCCCGTTTCCCCAGAATAGCCACGAGACCATCCTGTGACGCCGCAGCCCTAAACGCATAAGAGTTGAATAGCGTCGAGTCTAATTGAAACGCAGCCCCACAAGATATATCACACGGCAGACCCCAAACCTCCGAGCCAAGACCGCACTGCATTCACAATCTTGATCCTCACCACGCTGGCATCCTCCGTAATCCGCATATAGAATCCCACCTACGATATGGTCCATTCCAGCCGCGTATGGCGATCTCCTTGGCGGCAGGGATATATGTCCCTAGACTCATTATACGAATCGCGTGTCAATGCTATTTGCGTAGTAAAAAAAGCCATTGATTGAATCCAAACAGACATTTATGCACTGAATAGAGCGGTTCTCGACCCCTACTCTCCCCGTAAACACCTCTTTTTTTTTTCCACCGTCAATTCGCCATGGTGCCTATGTATTCTATTGTAATTGATACGTAATATTATTCCGGAACCGACATTAGATGAAAAACACCCAATTGTCGACTCCCACAGCACCCATGCAGCGAGAGGAGGTGTGGCATGCAAGGCGAGCGAGGAGAGGCAAGGCACCACACCATCCCCTTAAGCCGCAACATGCTAGACCGTGTAGCACAGCACTCACCGAATGCACGCTCCCAAACCTACGTACGAGCCGCGGGGGAGGGGGGGACGCGCATCCCATCCGTGGCGCCCTCGCGGCCCTACCATCTGCTGTGCAACGCTGGTTTGCCGAGGTCAATGAAACGTGTCACTTCCTACTTTGGCACCAGGGCGCTGCTTGAGGGCCGGTCCAACATGTACATACGTACATATGTATGCCCATGTAATGCGCATGTATGTATGTATGTACGAATGTACGACAGGTTGCTGGCGAGGACCAGCGCCCTGCCGGACACCCACGTGGTGAAAAGGCAGAGATATCTGACCCCTACTGAATCACTTCATCTTCGGTGCTGCACGCGGGTTCCGCTCCGGGCTACGCTTCCGGTTCATGGGGGTTTGTCTCTGACCAACACCACAGACCCTGGACCGTGTTGGCCGGCGACGCATTTTTGTATAATAGCGGTCAAGAAGGTCTTCCCTTGGTAAAGGCCACGAGTTTGGAGAAGGGACAAAAGAGAGAAAAGCTACTGCACGGCACAGACACTCAACCCCGGAGTTTTGGGTGGGCGCCAAAGGAACCCCGACGGGCAGACAGAGAGACAGGAGCGGGGGGCCACAGACATGACGGCACATGATGGCCAGGTGTTCAAGCTTAAACGATAACTTTTTTTCCTTTGACAGGACCGCTCTTTTCAGCCCAAGCCCTTCCATGTTCGGACACAAACAAGTCCGTCTGGGTGTGGTCGCTTGGGCTGAGGCTTGGGAGGCAGCCGGCTGCGGACAAGGATGGGGAAACAGGCGGTTAATTACAATTGCACGAGGTTGCTTGAAGCTGTGTAGCCCCCACCCTCCATCTTGCTGCTCTTGCCGGAGCCTGGGACGGGAATTAGCTCGTCTGTGGGAGAAAGGAGAAAAAAAAAAGAGTCACGGATCTACCCATTTCTGTTATTGCAGCCAGGCCGGGGCAAGGTTGGCATTAACGCGCTGGGCAGAGCCGGGGGCCCTGGCTGTACAGCCGAACCACTCACTCGGTCGGATTCCGTTCTCTCTGAGATGCGACGGGGGGAGGAAGAGGCAAGGAGAAGTTGGTGCTTTTGTTGATGGTGATGAACTACACAGCCTCGTACGTGGTTACTTTTCCCATCCGAGTCCGGGACAGGGAATGGCCCCGGGTGTTTCTTTGGGGGAGGGGGGGCCGGGAGATGACGATATCATATTGCTGGCCAAATCGGGGGAACTCACACTGGCCGTCGGTGCTGCGTGCCGTATCATTGATGGCTAATCGGCAGGTCGATAAGCCCTATGTACACGGCGTTGCTTCCCGTTGCATCGGCATTGCGCATCCTGGGGGGGCGTTTCCGCGGGCAGACGTGGATGGGGGCGTGCGCGGGGTCTTGCTCAACGGCATGGGACCAGACGGGATAGCGGTATAATGAACAATGGTATTCAAGATAGTGCTACGGAGTAGTAGTATTGCACTTGGGAGGCGGCAGCGTGGTTTGTGGAGAGATGATGGCCCCTTGCGCCGGCTCGTCATGTGGGTTGAATGGACGATCTGAACCGCCAAGCCTCTCCCATCGCCCATATGCTAAGCATACTTGCGCACAAGACTGGATTCATGCCTTGTGATAATGGC